GCCGACTCAATGATGATTCTGGACTATGGCAACTTTGGAGATGTTGTCTCATTTGACACTACTTTTAGAACGAACAAGGAGTATCAACCCTTTGCTTGACTTCAATCATTTCAGGGAGACTGTCTTATTTGGAGCCGCATTATTGTATGATGAAACGACAACATCATTTCAATGGTTGTTTGAGACATTCCTACAAGTTATGTTTGGGAAATATCCTGTTACTATCTTCACGGACCAAGATCAAGCGATGGTTAAGGCTATTTCTATAGTGATGCCAGAGACATACCATGAATTATGTACTTGGCACTTTTGCCAAAATGCTTTGAAATATTTAGGGAACATATATAAGGATGGTTCACAATTTTTTGCTCGATTCAAAGAGTGTGTGTATGGATATGATGAAGAGCATGAATTATTTGAGACTTGGGAATCATTGCTTGAGGAGTATAATTTGCATAATAATATGTGGATGAAATCTACTTGGGCATTGCGAGAAATGGGGGCATGTGTATATGAAAAGGACTTTCACTGGAGGAATGAGAAACACCCAACTGAGTGAGAGGTTGAATGCAGCCTTACGGAAGTACGCAAAGTCAAACCATGACATTGTTCAATTCTTTGTACATTTTGAAAGAGTTGTGAATGATAAACGGTATAAGGAGTCAGACTCAGAATACCAAGCTGGGCAAAAAATACCTAAATTGAAGTTAAAAAAGAGCTCTAATGTTAGTTCAAGCAAGGCAAGTGTTCACTCTTATTATATTTGAGTTGTTTCAAGATGAGTATGATATCTTTCAATGTGCTATTGCGACACCGTGTGACGTGTTGGATGGGTGGCATCAATTTGTGGTTCGATTATTTGATAAACATAGAGAGTATTTGGTCTTGGTNTGTGTTGGATGTGTGGCATCAATTTGTGGTTCGATTATTTGATAAACATAGAGAGTATTTGGTCTTGGTTAAGACTAATGAGGAGATAGTCATTTGTAGTTGTCGAAAGTTTGAAATGGAGAGCATATTATGTGGTCATGCACTTAAAGTCTTGGACATGATGAATATTAAGTAAATTACGAGCAAAATATATATAAGAGATGGAGATGAGATGCAAGAAAGAGTTGTAAGACAACCCCCATTTCAATGTCAAATGAAGAGGATCACAAGTTAATGGCGGCATCATGTTATAGGTAGCTTTGTCCTAAAATGGTACAACTAGTTGGTCTTTAACCTGCATATCAATTGGTGTCACATGGTGTTGAGGAATTATTTAAACAAGTGGATAATATGTATGCATCAATTGGTGATGGTGGCGATGATTCAATCCATGAAGAAGGAATAGAAAATATTGACCCAAACCTTCTCCAAGTTAAAGGTTTAAAAAGAAAAGAATGTGGTTACAAGGGTTGGGATCGACTAAAATCCTGGCATGAGAAAACAACAAAGAGAAAAAAGGGAGCTTCTCAACCTTCACATATGTCTACGGTATCGTATAAATATAATTGTAGATTTTTTTAACTCACTTCATATTTTTATAAATANTAACCCTTTGCTTGGCTTCAATCATTTCAGGGAGACTGTCTTATTTGGAGCCGCATTATTGTATGATGAACGACAACATCATTTCAATGGTTGTTTGAGACATTCCTACAAGTTATGTTTGGGAAATATCCTGTTNTCAGGTACAAGCTTTCCGTCACCTGTGTACATCAGCATATGGTCATTCGATGTCTTCTCAAACTTCAAATAGTGTACAAAGTGTTATGGTATGTTATTGTTAATTTTATTGTTTCACATATGTATCAAGTTTCTTTGTCTGACTCCTTCTCATTAATGTAGGGTACTCTGACTGATTCAACACATGTTCATTCTTTAAATGATGTTGAATCATTTTTCATGAATGGGGGATACAACTTGTAAGGATGCTTGGAGGATCAACAGTTATAAGAATGCAGGATGGAGGCTACTAGTTGCTTGTTGGATCATTTAATTAACCATTTATTTTAGTTGGATCACTTTGTTGAAAACTATTTATTTTTAATGAGACTACTAGCAGTTGTACGGATGCTTGTTGTATTTTTAATGAATGTGATCTTTTTTTGATGAATGTGATCTTTTTAATGAATGTGATTTTTTTAATGAATGTGATATTTTTTTATGAATATGATCTTCCAAGTCACAACAATATACAAAACCCACAATTTCATTCAAATTAAATACACAAGTTCATTCACAACACAAGTTCCATCACTACACCATTGCTCTTACAGCTCTACTTCACTAGAATCGCAAATATAAGAATCACCACTAGTAACGTGACTACAAACATATTTGACTTCATTGAACCTTCTTTAGCCTCAACACGTTGAATTACATTACAAAGTTCTTCAATCTGCAACTTCAATGTCATTACATCGTGTTCAATTCGTCATACATTGTCTTCAATTTGTCGTATATCCATCATTTCATTTGTAATTTTCGAAGAGGGGAGAGTAATAGGAGTCATCCACTTAAAAAAATGACTGGAATCGTCTGAACATTTGCAGTATAGCCTCCCAGGATTTTTTTCAGATTCGAAAACTTTGATAATCGCTCTTTTGCTACAAATGGGACAACGCATATTGCGATATCTTAACTCTTCGTTGCTTGTTGCTGTACTTGAAGATGCCATTCTTGAACTAGGTAGAATTGCTTGAACCAGATATTAAGTAATGGATGAAAGCTGTTGGACATACACAGAATATTGCAAAGCAAGTGCGGTATTTCAACAAATACAACAACAAATCAACTTCTAGCATTTTGATGTTTGGAGCATAAAAAGGAAGATAACATAGTAACTTGTACAGGTCGGAGATCAAGCCTGATCATATTATTTACAGATACCATATAGTAGTTCATATAGCAGTTCATTAAAGTGAATGATCAAGCCTAATCAAACATGAAGCATATAAACATTCAAAGTGCAACAAGCCAGAATAGATCATGAGACAATTAATTCCACCAAAAGAAGCAATATAAATCATGATTCATAGGCCTTAATATAAATCTACATTACTTTACACATGGATGCATGTATGTCGGGTTTTCTGATCAATAAAAGTTTCATCATATATTAGGTAAATGGGTTGAAGGAAAATACTCTTGACCTCTTTATCTAAACTGAATCTTTTTTTTTTTTTTAGAAAAAGAGAAATTTATTTATTAAAATCCAAAAATTACAAGAAGCAAAAAATAGAAACTGTTTAAGTAAAACAGTAACTGTTTTAACAAAACAAAACAGTAAACTGTACACAAAAAACAGAAAATCTGTTGCTAATTCTATCATAAAAAATCCTGTACAGCAACTGTGTTATGATCCTGCACCTCAGCTCCTGCCTAAAACCTGATTCAGAAATTCTAGGCCAGTACATAACAACAAACCAACTCCTCAGAAGAAACTCAATTTGCCATCGCTATTCCAGCTTACCAACAACTCTGGAAAACTTTTGCTTAGTCTAGAGCAGAATAATTCATACTCCAGCACAGTGCAGTACTGTAGAGATAAATGCTCCTCAGCACTACACAGACTGCCAAACAGTCACTCCTCATTCTGTCAAAACAACCTCTTCCTTACAGAACTGATCCAGTGTTCCATACCATCCCAGTTTTTACAATTCGGCAACACAAACCAACATGACCACTACATACACCATGATCCTATCCAGGATCTACAACAACCTGACCACCACATACAACCTTCCTCCTCCTAGTAGTAGTGATCCTAGACCGATCCAAATGCAAAACCAGCCTTCCATCTAGTGGTAGAATTCCACTGTCTGAAAAATCAATGAAACAACCAGTTTTGATAGCATATGAGGCCAGAAAATCAGCTACATTATTGGCTTCCCTAAACACATGCTTCATTTGAAACTGCATTCCCCCCCCATCAATTTCCATATATCCTCAATTACCCTCTGTAACCTCCAAGGCACTTCTACTTTTTTCATCACCATTTGGACCAGTTTTTCATCTAAACTGAATCAAGTGTTAAATTCAACACTAAATGTATTGAAACCAAAGGCCTAAAAGAATATACAGATTTCAAGCAAATCCCAAAAATGAATAATACTTTACACATTCACGTTCATTGCCTTGTTTCTTTAGGTGCCTATCATCAACAATTAAGCTTACCAAATCCTTTTTGGCATTTTCTCAAACAGGTGGAGGGCGGGGAGGTGTGTGTGAGAGATTTGCTTGAAGGAAAAAGAGGGAGATAGAGAGAAATGAGAAAGGGAGGGGAGAAGGAGAGAGAGAGATGAGATAACAACTAGCTTGTGTGCTCCAACTATAATGTGAAGAATGTAAAATTTATCACCAGTTTTCTTCGTGAAAGCATCTCTAATTTCAACATTAAATGCTCATCAAATTAAATATGAGTTGTGAGACAATATATATAACAATTGTTAACAGAGAGAACATACGTTGCTTGTAATTGGAGTTGCTTGAAGTCGGAGCTCCCTGAGGTCGTCGGAATTGCCTGAAGTCACCCATATTTGTTGCAACTCGCAAGACTTTGTTGTTGAAGTCTAATAAAGAAAAGGGAGACTGCAGATCTGAAATTTGAAAGATCAAAACTACGTCGTTTTGGTAAGAGAAAATTAAAAAAAAAAAAACACATAAAACACCCAAACGGCACCGTTGCACTTAACCGCAAGTCACGCGGTTTCCCCCCTACCGTAGAGGAGCCGCTCCCCGGGCCACCCTCTGCTGCCAAATAGCTTCAATGCCTATGCATACTGCTACAGAAAACGATCCTGTTGGTGATATAAGGAAAACAAAATTGGCAAATCGCTCTTGATTCCATACGCTTTAGTTTCAATGTAGACCTCCTCGTTCGATTACGATTATCTTATCTTCTGCAATCTCTGTAAATTTTCCGATTGATCAATTCTGAAATATTGGTTTTGTATTGGTGTTTGGTTCCAAATTTAGGTGCTTGAGTGAGGCCATTTTGGAAATTCCGGTTTATGATGCTTTGTTCTGAATTGCGCACCCAGATACAGACGTGGCTTCGTGATTATGACAGGATTCAATTCCTTGCTGTGATTCTCATTTACATTCAGGTACGTTTTTTTTTTTCTCTGAATCTGATTTTTTGTTTAGTTCTTGTCCGTATTTAGTCAATATTGGTGACTTGATGTACGAATGAATTTTTGGGGTGTTGAAAGATTGGTTGTGCGTTGATTGGATCTCTGGGGGCATTATACAACGGTGTCTTGCTGACTAATTTGGGGATTGCGTTGTTCGCGCTCGTGGCAATCGAGAGTAGCAGTCAGAGCTTGGGCCGGACCTACGCTGTTCTTCTCTTCTGCGCCATTTTGCTCGACATCTCGTGGTTCATTCTCTTCACTCATGAAATCTGGTGCGTTTAACTTTTTTATTCCCTGAAAAAATTCATTAGTTCTCATAGGCTTCACTTCTCCACATTGCTACTACTTTTTGATAGTTAAATTCTCGTTTTCTGTACTTAAAAGAAGGTTGAAATCTTAGAGAGGGAAGGAACAGCTAATGGGACATTGTAATCCAGTCACATTTGACACCCACATCGCCTAGAATTTTAACTGCACATTGCTGCATAACGTTAGTAGAAAGGTTATGAAGTTCAATAATTGAAGCTTAAGCAGACATTGGTAATCTAGTTGTAGACATCTTTTGCATGCTACTTCCATTTCATGTACTTTGCTTTTACATTGGAGGTTTAGACCTAATCAAGTTAGTTGGTTGTTTTTGAGATATTTAGATTTCCGGTTTATTTATTTATTTGTTTTTTGTATTTTGATTAGTTCATGTTCTTTTATTTTCCTGCTATGTGGGTTATTTTGGTGGTTTATGGAAAACAATATCCTGGGATTTGCTATTATTGCCTCATTTGTGAGGTCATTTCAGATGAATGATTTAAAAGAATATCAACATTTGATACTCCAAAAAAAATTGGACTGAATTTAGAACAATTAGTGTTGAAAATTTGGAGACATCCCACTTTCCTCCGGTAGCAGTGACACTATATTTTTTGTGTCATCTTTTCTAGTGCCAATGGGCATTCTCTTCTTTGGGTGGGGACTTTTTTAAAATGCTTAGGCATTTGTTAGTATTGTGAGGCCTGAGTTGAAAGTATTTGCTGATATGGATGTAATTTGACTGAGTCATATTTGACTCGGCACCCTATGATTCAATATTGTTCCACATTCAATGTAAACCACGAGCCTAATGTGACTCAGCCCAATCATCTGTGACATCTTTGAGTCAACCCGAGTCATTCGATTTATTGTCACTGGATCGATTGATATCAACTGCCGCGATTTACTCTAAATCACTTATTATATTTAATTTCATCTTCTATGTAGCATTTTATACGTATTGTCTGATACTATTCCACGATGTCGTGATTAAATCACAATGCGCTACAAGTCGATGGTCGATATTGCAACTTTGAATTACGTGTGAGTATAATTGGAAAACACTTTGATTTCTTAGTAGCTGTTACCAAAAGGACACCCTTGAATATTGAGATAATTTGTTGCAATACTTTCGGTTTCTCTTGTATATAACTAATATTTTGTTGATGATGGGCATGTAGATCCTTTTGGTTTCATTTTCGACTAATTGAAGGTTAGTTTTACAATGGAGCCTATAAGAGAAACCTTGGATATTGTAACGCCCTAAAATCCACTCTGGAAGGCATTACTATCTAAAACCATCTAATCATGAGAGCAACTACCATAACCATTAAATAATAAACTATTCATCCATCTGACAAAGAATAAATATTAAAGCCAAAAACACATGTTAACTTCTTCAACTTACAATTCAAAATCAAAGCATATCTAGTAGCGGAATAATAAAAACTAGCTAAAACATTATTTCATAAAGATCTCTCAAACTCTAAACCAAAAATAAAACAACTCTATTTCTATAAGACATGATCCACATCTTGATCCTCCAACGGTTCATAATCAACTTGTTCATCTACATTGACATCCTCTTCTATGCCAAAATCTGTAATTGTGTTGTAGTATAGAGTGATCAAAAGCGCGTAGAAAATTTCTCTCAAATCTCAACAAGGTTTTAAAAATAACATAAAAGAAGGCAATTATTTTTTTTTTGAAAAATATCATATATAAATTTTTGATAGTAAAACCATAACAATTGTAATGATCTTAAGTGTATGGAATGCAGTAAATCAATGACTGGAATAAACTTGCAATAAATTAANTTAATGATCTTAAGTGTACGGAATGCAGTAAATCAATGACTGGAATAAACTTGCAATAAATTAAAGCATTTAATAAATAACTTAGTAGTATCATCCCATATTCTCATTTATATTGGTTTATTCCAATTCTCATGTATATTGGTTGCTTCTCAGNGTAATGATCTTAAGTGTATGGAATGCAGTAAATCAATGACTGGAATAAACTTGCAATAAATTAAAGCATTTAATAAATAACTTAGTAGTATCATCACATATTCTCATTTATATTGGTTTATTCCAATTCTCATGTATATTGGTTGCTTCTCAGGAATCTACACAACGATTCTATTTTGTTCACCCATCACAATCACATAATCTCAATCATTCTCCGCAGAGCCAAATCACAAATCACTTTAGGAAGGGCGTATACTGTTTCTCATGGGATTGACGAATCCTTCCTACGAAAGGTATACCATCTTTTAGCTTCGAACTTACGTAAACAATAATGCTTTCTCTCACAATAACAATTCACTACAAGTGTTAGGCAACCATCTCATTTCCATCGGAATAGACTAACATCTAATACTCTACGGTAGTTTTCGAAGGCAATTCAACTCCGTTACACCCAAACCATACAAGAGATGAAACCACAATTTTTTACAACAACCACAATCTTAACTAATCACAATTTTCATTACCAATTCAAGTATCACAATTACACAATTCTCTATATATTACCGTAATAAAGGAATTAAAATATGTAAGAGATCATCTCAAAAAAACCTTTACAATTTTGATATTCAAAATTCTAGGGATTTGTCAAAAATCGTAATTTCTTGGAACAAGAATAAGTATTAGATTAAACTAGGATTTAATCAAGAATAGTAATTTAAAAATCAAGAATCCTTGTATTTTTCACAATAGAACATATATTTTGAAAAAACTAGAGTGTTGGAAATTTAAGAACAATTATTCTTTGAACTCAAACATGTAGTTTGTTCAGTACACCGTTTCAATGATAAATAAACAAAGAAATCATAAGTATTTGTCATACAACTATCAAGAAGATTGAAAATATATATATAAAATACCCTAAACCTCAATGAAAGAACTTGAAAAGAATTCCCTACCTCAATTATGTAGTTTGTGTGTAAATCTAGCATGTTTGATCCACTCCAACGTGAGAATCCCCTTTCAATCTTGTGTTTCTCTTCTTCTCTCTTACTTTCCAAGGTTTTCTAGAGTTAGACCTGATGAAATAGGACTAGGGGAGGCATCCTTAGGTATTTATAGGATGAAAAAATAGTGTAGTCGGTGAAGACTTGACATCCAAAATCGAGACAGCATGTTCGAACTATCTACCTGACGTTTGAACTATTTACCTGACGTTCGAACGCCATATTGGCTTTCAAACGTTGTTTGCTCCTAGTACTTTTGTTTTTTCTGGGACTTGCTATCGTTCGAACGGATACATTCAAGTTTGAACGGATTTTAGTTTTTACCAGAACTTTCAACGAAGTTTTGATCTAGTTAGAGGTCGATTCATGAAATTTTCATGAAATACACTTTTTTAGCTCTTGAAGTCTAGTTCTTATTGTAAAAATTTCAGGTCAATCGGACATTAGGATAAAAAGTTATAGTCAAAATACTAAGGTTATGTCAAATTCCTTTCTACCCAAATTCTCTCCAAAATAGATTTTAATCCTAGAATATTTCTAAACTTCTAGTACAACTCATATAATCTCTTCCAATGTTTTTCAACCTTCCGGATTTAATGAAAATTTTATTTTTACTTAAAAATTATAAAATTACTTAATTATCCTTCTCAAATTTAAACATCTAAACTCAATTTATTTCGAATATCAATATGCTTGAAGCTCAAATTTCATAATCAATCTTTCAACAATGATTCTAAGTTTTTACTATCATTTTATTCATCACATACGGGATCTTACTGATATGTTATAGGACCTTCATATTTGTTTGTATATCATATCAAAGCCATGTTATTTTTGAAAAAATAATGTAGCTTGTTCTTGTGGTCTTCTAGTCAAATTTTATATATTTTTATCCTATAGGAAAAATCACTAGAAATCTATGAAGCACATACACTTTAGGGTGCGTTTGATAACGTTTTTGTTTTTGTGTGTTCAAAAAAATAAAAAATATAAACACTTTTTGTTTTTTCTGTGGTAAAGACTAAAAATAGAAAATATATTTAGTAGTCATTTATGTTTAACAAATTATGTAAACAAAAAAAAAAAAAAATTGGTAACTACTTCAAGTTATTTCTTAATTATTTGCTTTATATTATTTCCTACTACAAAAACAATTAAAAATTCTTTATCCCAACACATCCACTAACTCATCAAATAATACCGAAAGCAAAATAATTGAATCGCATAAGTCATTAAACATAGCAATACATTCCATTGTTCAACATACTATCAATTGTACACATTAATAAGTCATTATCACTGAACTAAAATCCCAACAATTAGTACAAATACCATTAATAGGATTTCATTTTTCTTGTAACGTATCCCCTCACTGTGCCATGACACTTCATTTGTCACAGCCATCAAAGGCCTTTGTGCAAATTAGAATGAAGGACCGAAACCCACCACTAGTTAGAAAAGGAAGCCCTATCAATTACATATTAAAATCACATGAATGCTTATTGATCATAAACCAAAGTAACAAAAGCAAGTATCTTTAAGCACTTGTAGTTACATTAACTACGCTTGAAACAAAACACACGAGCAGATTCAAGTACATTTTAGAAAGAAACCCAATTTTTACACTGATTTGCCACATTTTATTGGATAAGATCATATGCACGGTTTAGCTTTCATATATGTATTCACCAACAAGAAATCTTCGGCAATGCATGAGGAGAAATATACTCAAATATAGTAATTAATAGAAAACCAATAAATATGAGATGTGAGATGTAGGTTTTGAGTGGTCCCCATCATCTCCTTCTCCTCCCACATCATTGAGCATGTCTCCTATGCACAACAATGACCCTCCTACTCCTCTCATCTCTCTCTCTCCCTAGTTTTGTCCAAATCTCATAGGAGAATTGCAATTTATACAACTCATTGGCAAACCTAAGCTTTCTCTAGCTTAATTCAATATTTCAAATCTAAAATCAATTTTAACAAACAAAACTTGAGATTGTAGAGCTCATAAAAATTGAAATTGCAAATATATATACAGATCTATGGAAAATAATAACAAAAAACTATGAAAAATCTTAATTCCATTTCAATTAACAAAAAATTCATATATACTATATCCTTAGACACATTCCAATTTAGAAATCAACACACCCTAGACATTATACATATAAAACCTAAAAAATCAAGACACTTCGAATATCACTATACCCAGCAATCTAATAGTCATGCAGTATAATAGTGATGCACGATGGTTAGAAATTAGAGAACCCATCGAAAAATCCAGATCTACATAGATTTGTACATATATATCATGTCAATACCTAGATTTGTACATATATATATATTATATATATCCATAGATCATATATATATATATATATATATATATACCATATATATCCATAGGTCTGAGCTTTAGAGGTAGAGACCGGCTCTGGAGAGAAGATTTGAGTAGCAGATCTGAGTTTGAGAGTTGTTTCGTTTCATGTTCGTGAGAAAGAGACGAATAGAGAGAGAGAGATGAGAGAGACAAATGTAAGAGAGTTAGGAGGTTTAAATAGTGAGAACAAAAAATGAGATTTGTTGCTGGTAAAGGGGTTCGAAGTGTGGACCTTATTAAAATCTTTGAACCCCCCGCGCTTGTTTTCATTTTTTGTTGTTTATCAAAATATCAAATTTCTGTTTATAGTTTTGGCCATTGTTTTCAAAACAACTTACATAAAAAAAAAACAAAAACACAACCCATACACAGTATTATTATTTTTTTTTCAAAAAAGTGAAAGTAAAAACAAAAAACACGAAACAAAAACAACCTTAATTTCGGACACATGTCCGACACTTCTTCGGTGATGTATTCAACAATTCTTCGGTGACGTATTCAACACTTCTTTAGACCTTGTCTACCACTAAATAATAAACATGTGATTAACAAAGCTTAAAAATTTGAGTAGCAGGTATAATTACCAAGACTAGATGTGTTAAAGTTGTACTCAAAATATAATAATTAAAGAAAAATATATATAAAAGATTGAGAAAAGAGAAATTGAGAAAATGAGAGCAATTATTTAAATTATATATGTTTTTACGAACACATTTACGAAAAAAAATCCATGATTATTGACTAGTAGATGTTAGTCTAATAATTCACAATAGATGATTACAGTCTAGACATAACATATTTAATATTTTATTAAAAATATATCATTCTCACTATATTTATCATAAATTACATAATTTTATATTTATCGTGTCTAGGCCGTGTTGTATCTATGCTTCTTATCTAGAAATATACCATGCTTTTATTGCTGATATTGTTGTTTCATGTTCTTCACTTTGCTTTCTTTCCGCAATTAGTTTAATTTATTCACACCTTAATAATTCGTATTTTGAATAATTGTATAAGTTCCAAGATGCTGAACCTTTTATCCATAGGAGCCTTCCTACTTGCTTAGGTGGCATGAAGTATCTCTTCATTTAAGGAGGTTGCATTTTGACGTTGCATCCATTGTTTTGCGAATCAAAATAAAATGTGAAAGGATTGACAAAAAGTATGAATAGTTAACCAGATGAAAGTTCAACATGGCCTAGAAATCTAGGGAGGCTTGATCATTACGTTTATTAGACTTGTGTGAAGGTTGAAATTAGGATTTCTGAAGTCTTCCAACCTAGGGTAGTATGGGGATTTGGGATCTCATGTATTTTTTAAAGACTTCAGATAGATTTGTTGTTAAAGAAACTATTGGATATGGCAGCTATGTCCTTGCTTAGAAATTACTATCTGGCCTCTACTTGTATCATACCCATTGGTTGACATTTTTGAGAGAAGTAAAGGGTGATAAGCCTCATTAGCTTAGGTTGGTGACGAAGTTAAACTCTATCCTTAGAAGAAGTCAATGGTTGTCAATGAAATTTTAAGAATTATCTTGGTCATGGATCCCTTGTTCCACAGACTTCGAAGCATTTTCTTTAGCTAAGAGAGGAGGATTAACTTATCCATACAGACAGTACTGAGTGTTCCAACTAATTTCCACTTACATACCAGGGCAACAACATGAAGCCACTATAGATAAAGTCAGACCAGTAATCCTTTAGATTCTTAATCTTTACAAAAGATTTACTCTTTCAACCATGCTCTTACCCATGGGTTTAGTACCACCTAAAATTTTCTTGTTACTAAGAATTAACTATCCTTTGATTTGGGGCAAGGCATTTGTTATTTGTCTTGCATATGAAATGGTTAATGAATAAAGCGAAGTTATGGTATTATTCTAGTATGGAAAGGCCCAGTTTAAATGGCCTTCTTTTTGCCTTTTTGTTTATTTTATTGTTGTTTTTTCCCTTTCTGTTTCTTGATTATTTTTTTATTTTTTTGGATAGGATGTTTCTTGATTGATTTTTGCGCGTAGGGACCTTCTTGAGGCCTACCTGGGTGGGTGTGGGGTTATAGGTGATCAGGATGACTTGGCATATTATAAGGTACTACAATAAATGGCATCTGATTTGTGTTTAGAGGTTGCCCCACTCACTTGGAGGAATTGAGATGTATGATTTTTTTAGACTTTTAGTCTTAGCTTCATCCTCATGTGATTGCAAATCATTGTTCATTTGATGTGCTTGCATTTGGAGTGCCGAACAGAGAGTTTACAGCTCTTTCCTTCGTAGTCATTTTCTACCTTAGGAACAATTTCCATTTGCTAAAGATTTACACCACCAGGATTTCCCCTTTGGCTACATGACTATTCTTGATGAAATCCTTCCATAAGAAAATCAGGTTCTTTCCGCTCTTAAATAAACACTGTTTTACTTAAAAGACATGGAGTTTACTGCGTTGAGTCATTTTAATTGCTTCCATCACAAGACTAGTAAAAAAAGTATAATTTCACATTATCAGGTGATCTACATTTATGGACAAGTGTGCGTGCACACGACACTCTTTGAACTCATTTTTAGAAAATTCATGTCGAGCTTGGAAATTTTGATTTTGTTTCTGTTGTATTCTTTTTTGGTTCTAATTTCTGCTTGGCAAACTTGTTTTATCTGGAGGTTGTCCAGGTCTCCAGTTTTAGCTCTCACATTGTTTATATTCTCTAATTCTTTTCTTATGAACAAAACACAGCAAACATTGGCCTTAGAAAACAGTTAATGGTGGTGAAGTCTCTTGGATGTTGTTCTTGAGACTGAGATTCAAGTACTTTCAGGATACTGAACTCTTTCATCATTCTTCAATATTATAATGGCACCTTCACACGTTGACCTTGCATAAGTTGAGAAATAGTTGGTTCATGCACGTTATTGCCTGATTGTGCCTACCCAAATGTTTTCACTTAATGACTTTATTTCCTATTTGTTTACGCAGGAACATCTCTTCTGAGATTTATGGAAGCTTTGTGATCTTTTCCGTGAAACTCACTCTGTCGATGCAAATTATTGGATTCTATGTGAGGGTGTCATCTTCATTACTATGGATTCAGATGTACAGACTCGGAGTTTCGTATGTAGACAGCTCAGTTCCTCGAGAAGCAGATGCTGATATAAGAAATAGTTTCTTAAATCCTGCAACTCCTTCTGTAGTTAGACATTCCTCTGGCTCTGATGATGTTTTAGGAGGGTCTATATACAACCCAGCATATTACTCCTCTCTCTTTGAAGATGGAAAAGATCATGGATATTCGTACGGGGTATGCTATTTTCATTCAAATGCTACAACACTAATGCTTGTTTAACTGTGTCGTGTCAATGATATCGAATCTGGTCATCTTGATTTCATACTTGTGAGTTTAGTTGTAATTGCCTTTGTTGAAATTTTTAGAATTTAGCATGGTATTGCATTCCATGCAGATTGATAGTCAACAAGTCCAACCTCCTTCTACGACCAACATTTGTTAATTGATACAATGGAAAAATAGAGCTGCATGAGCTTTTCAGCTCGATCCACTCTCTCCACCATCATCCTCCGATGGAATGCGGTTATTTAGGGTTTCCTAATTGTTTACTTTCCTAATATGGTCTTTCCTATTGTGNACATTTTGTTAATTGATACAATGGAAAAATAAAGCTGCATGAGCTTTTCAGCTCGATCCACTCTCTCCACCATCATCCTCCGATGGAAAGCGGTTATTTAGGGTTTCCTAATTGTTTACTTTCCTAATATGGTCTTTCCTATTGTGAACATCAAAACTAATATAAATAGGTGGTAAGATGTACACACTTGACACACCAATCTTATTACAATATTCCTCTTTTTCTCTTCTCTTCTCTTTCTTCTAAACTCTAATTAATTGTTTTTTTAGTTTCAACTTGGTATCAGTGCGTATTAGGATTTGCATCTGGTCCTCTCCCCTGTTTTCATTTTCTTTTTCTTCTTCTTGTTTCTTCTTACAAAGACCAGGACAGAGACTTTCGGTTTTTTAATTGTGGTTGTGTTGATCTGAACATGAATATCTGATATCAGAGCTTCCTTGTTCTGGAAGACGCAGTGCACAGTAGTCTCCAATGGGAATTTGTTGCAGATAGGTTGATCTGTGTTCCATTCTGATTAGCGAACCTTGTTGTGGTTATTGTCGTGTCCACTTGTTGTTGGAATCGTCGAATCATCGGAGGTTGAAGATTGCCTGCGTCTCACCATAGTCGAACAGTGAGGAGCTAGGTTTTCTTTAGGCTTCTATTTCTTTTCTCCAAGCCCGAGATGCAGCCCAGGTTGAACCAAGCCCCAAACTCTGGTTGTACCAAGCCTAGATCCAGGTTTGCAGTCGGTTCATCCCCCTGTGCTAGACCAACTAGTTCATATACATAACAGACCGGTTCAGTACAGTTCAGGTGAGTTTCTTCTCCTTTCTTTCTTGGCTTGGGTTATTCCCAGACAGTATTTTCAGCATCGGTTCAGTAAAACCAGTCCAGTTCAGGTTGTTTCAGAACCGGTTCAGTGAGGATTTTGCAGCCCTGGTTCACTATTTTTATTAATGCCTAGACCTTGTTCCTTGACTTAGAGGTATTTCTCTCCCCTCGTTTGATCTTGTACTGGTATTTATCCCTTATAATGGTGACTTCAGAGGATACAAAGGACACTCCACCTCCAACAACCATGCCCCGCTGAAGCTTCGCAGACGTGTGTGACAGACCAACCATGCACAACCAAAATTATCAGAGCATGTAACTCGGGAGAAAGTTTAACATTTGTTTTGCGATAGAAGTTTTGATAGAACATAAACGTTTTGTTATGTCTTTTGAAGGGCTGAATGCAGAGGTGATTTGTATCACAGAATGGAATTGCTTTGGCTCCTTTTTGTGCAGCTTCAATGGATGTGTAGTTTCGGATTTTATTTTTTATTTTTTATTTTCTATTTTCTATTTTTATTTTATCTTTGGTTTGGACAACTTGTCAACATTTGATTCATCTCTTTTGTACTTTCTTTGAGCTTTTATGATTAACAAAAGTATTGGTTCTTATCTGAAAACAAAACAAGGAANATTTTTTATTTTTTATTTTCTATTTTCTATTTTCTATTTTTATTTTATCTTTGGTTTGGACAACTTGTCAACATTTGATTCATCTCTTTTGTACTTTCTTTGAGCTTTTATGATTAACAAAAGTATTGGTTCTTATCTGAAAACAAAACAAGGAACAGTTCGGTGGACAATTAGGTTAAACATGTTTATTCAGTCGATGACCAGATTAGACTGATTACTTCTATAAAATTAAATCGCATCAACTATTATTACTGGTTGCATGCAACCNGACAGTTCGGTGGACAATTAGGTTAAACATGTTTATTCAGTCGATGACCAGATTAGGCTGATTACTTCTATAAAATTAAATCGCATCAACTATTATTACTGGTTGCATGCAACCAAAGTTTTCTTACAAGCCAAGAAGAAAGTCGGTTATTTGACTTGAGAGTCCACCTCCAAAGACCTCTAAAGAGTTCTGAAGTGAGAATTCCTTGGTGATGACATGGTTATGGCTTAGTATAGAAACGTTTGTAGCATGGGATTCCCTTTAGGAGATGTAAATCAAGAATATAATGTCTCACATTTATGAGCTTTTTGAATGTCTGATTAATACGAAGCAAGGTAAATCTCTTGTTGAACAGTGTGTCACTTTGAAAAGGTTGTGGGAAGAACTTTTGCTTTATCAACCACCAAGCACCGAATTAAGCATACAACAATGACAAGGAGTTTAAGGTTGCCTTGTTATTGTCTAGCCTTACCTCTGATTATAGTGTATATTAAAATCAAATTTTGGCTAGTGAGACTCTTTTGACTGCTGCAAATGATTACTGTCGCGTTCAGCGTACTTTCATTAGTCATGGAACTCCATTATCGGAGTCGTTTGCTGTAATATCTAGTGGTGGTAGTGGTCCATCTCACAATACTAGTTGCGGTAGTCGAGGAAGTGGTCGTGGTGGNCTCGCGTTCAGCGTACTTTCATTAGTCATGGAACTCCATTATCGGAGTCGTTCGCTGTAATATCTAGTGCTGGTAGTGGTCCATCTCACAATACTAGTTGCGGTAGTCGAGGAAGTGGTCGTGGTGGTCATATTAATCGTTCCAAGTGTACTTATTGTGATGATAGAAGACATACTGAAGATTATTGTTGGGACAAGCATGGGAGACCAACACATGCTAATCAAGCATCTAACGACCTTTCTGGCTTTCTAGCATATCAGATTTCTACTGGTGGTTCAGTTGCATCTATTTCTGGTTCTCATGGTGACCTTTCTTCTCAGCTGAGTTAGCTTATATAGCAGCTGTCTTCACTTTTTCCACATTTGCCTACGTCAACTGCCAGTTTTGCTAATGGAGGTAACTTTGCATATGTGGTTGCCCAACCTTTTTCACCCACTTGGGTCATTGATCCAAAGTTAGTGCTCATAATTCTAGTATTTCAGACCTATTTTCTAATTTTTGTTCATCTAACTCACGTATTGTATTAGCCGACGGTTCATTTTGACCAATACATGAAACTGACGATCTTCATCTTACTTTGTTTATGCCCTTAGCCTCTGGGTTATTTATACCTAACTTTCCCTTTAATTTGTTATCTGTGAGTTAGCTAACTAAGTCCTTATAATGTTTCTTAACATTTTCTCCATCTTCTTGTGTTTTTCAGAATCTCATGACGAAGAGGGTGATTGGTTTGGGGCATGAGAGCAATGATCTTTACTACTTGGACCCCAGAGTGTCTATTCCTACCTTGAGTGCTACTATGTCTTATCTTTCGTGATATTTTTGACTAGGTCATCCATCCTTGCAAAAGTTACATCAAGTTATTCCTAGTTTGAGTCATTTTGTGGTAGAATGTAAGGGTTGTCAATTAGACAAGCATCATTGTAGTTCTTCTCCTTCTAATTCTACAAGTTGTAAGTCTAGTGCTTTTTTTTTGTAGCACATTCAGACATTTAGGGCTCTACAATAACGAAAAAGTATTTTTGGTTTTTAATACTTTGTAATTTTTGTTGATGACTTCTCTCGTATAACTTGGTTATTTTGTATGAAAGATCCAGCTAAATTGCCTAAGATCTTCTCCACTTTTTATAATGAAATCTTGGTTTAGTTTGATATTCGCATAAAAATTCTTCGGTCTGATAATACACTTGAGGATTCTCACCAATTTATAAATAGATTTTGTGGTGACCGTGGCATTAATTGTCCATCAAATTAAAATGGGATTGCCTAACGCAAATATCTTCATTTATTAGATGTTATGCTCACCCTAATGTCTAATATGCATGTGCCGAAGTCAAGGATCAAAATATCGTTTCGAAACGATCAAAATATCCGAAATGTTTCTGTTTCTAAGGAGACTGAAACGAATCAGTGATGGAATTAAAATTTTAATACTTCGAGGTATGGTTACCTTAATTCACTAAATCCTTAATGACCTATAATCTAGGTACATCGATCCTAAACAAAGTAGGTTCGCGATCCAGATTACCAAAATGGACGACTCCAAATTATAATACTAACTCTAAATCAATTCACTTTAAAATATGTAGCACAAATATAAAATACATATTAATTAACTATATGTATATAATATAAATTGTAACTAATTTAGTGTTTATGAATGTTTTATAATATATAATGGTGTATAGTAGTGAAAACGATTTACATAAGAGTTTCAAAACGAATTGCGACCCAAAATACCGTACCAACTAAGCCTATCTTCATCGTACCGAGTATCTAAGAGAGTGTCATACTATGTACCTGTACCCATACTACGTACCCATAGTTTTGAAAAACGGGCGTTACGTAACAGAATCGGAAGACTTCATTCCCGTTACGGGCCGATATAACGGGTAGAATGAAATTCACGTATGTAACTGCCGTTATCGGGTCATAACTCCGTAACATACGTTATCGGGGCATTACGGGTCAATCCGTGACAATTTTTGCCCTATTTCTTAATTTATCTCAAAAATCGAAACAATTCTCAGAAAACCCACAAAATTGCAACCTTTGCCGAGATAAAAAGGCCACAATTTTCAACCAAATCAGTTGGTTTGGTAAGTAACAGCAAAACAAAAATAGTTTGGTAAGAAAAATCTCACAAAATTGATGGAGCTCACCCATAGATATCGGCAACGACAATAATCTCTCTGGCCAGCATTTCAAAATCTCTTTGCCATGGGCAACATGCATGGGCCACAAAACCTCTTTATTTCATGGAGTTTACAGATAAAGAAGGTGGTTTCCTCTATAATTCCTTCTAGTTTAGTTCATCAACAACTGATTATTGGGGCTCCGACAATGGGTAGGCACCGAGAGAGAAAGATGAATAAAACAACATTTTGCATTTATGCAAAACACCAGTGCAGTTNGGGCCACAAAACCTCTTTATTTCATGGAGTTTACAGATAAAGAAGGTGGTTTTCTCTATAATTCCTTCTAGTTTAGTTCATCAACAACTGATTATTGGGGCTCCGACAATGGGTAGGCACTGAGAGAGAAAGATGAATAAAACAACATTTTGCATTTATGCAAAACACCAGTGCAGTTAAGGGTTTTGGTGAGAAATGGTAAGGCTGCCACCAGCCTAAATGTGAGTGATAGTTGGACATTTGGAGGAGAAAACTATATGCGTGTTGTTCAATAGTTCTTTTTTGAAAAGGTATGGTTAAGACCTTGGTTCTATGGAAAAATGAGTTTAGGCTGTTCCAATGTATTAGAATTTTTTTTTATTTTTCTATTTCCATTATGTTAATTTTTTTTATTTCATTTGGCTTAGAACAAGCAGAAAACTGTAACGTTTAAACTAAGATATAAGTTAAACTTGTTTATGATCTAAACTACAAAAACATATATTTATACAATTTTGAAGTTAAAACATGCATAAATTCATTTTTATGGGTGTTGTGAGTTGGAAAAAAAAATTCATGCCTCCGGTTTCCGTTATTGTTTCGTTTCACCCCACGTCCGTTACAATGTTACCATTACCGTCATGATAACCGTTACCGTTATTCAGAACCATGTACGTACCATAGTATCCCACGATTCAGGTAACATTGCTTCTAGGTGTTCCATAATATTTCAAAATGTTTTGTTATATTTCAATACATTTGAATAATTATTTCATAATGTTTTAAGATATTTCAAAATATTTTGATATATTTCGACCAATGTTTTGAAAAAATAATTTTTTAATTTTTTATTTTTTTTCATTATTGTTTTCAAAACGGGTTGAAGCGTTTCTAAAATACGTCGAAACGTTTCCGTTTTCATCAAAACAAAATTTTGATCTTGGCCAAAGCCCAAAGCCCTATTGGCCTGTTGTTCTTACTTCTGCTTATCTTATCAATTGCATGCCTTCCTCTATTTTGGACAACCAACCTCCTTACTCCTTGCTATATCCTGATACACCACCTTTCAATTTAACTCCTCGTATATTTAGTTGTGTTGTCTTTGTTCATCTACTAGGTTGTCGTCTACATAAACTATCACCT